CCCTGCAATCCCAGCCACCACCCCCCACCACCCCCCAAACCAGTACAGCTATGGAGCTGATTTTGTTGATGTGATTATGTTCCAGGTCCCAAGGGTGAGAAAGGAGATGCTGGTCTGCAAGGGCTGCCAGGAACCCCAGGTCCTCAGGGTCCAAAAGGTTCTAAAGGAGAACGAGGTAAAGCAGACTAACTGCTATTTCAGAATCAGATGATGTTGTCCTCACTGAATACCAGAAAACCATAGGAAAAGCATATTTTTCAAAGGAAACAGAGCATGCTGATATGGATTGACACCTTGAGAGATGTAGCCAACACTAGTGCAGGGACAATAGCTTAGATGGTGGGAGCCTATGTGCAGGCAGTATAGGAGCAACTGCTCATAAAGACATCACTCGAAACTCCTCATTCTGAGTGGGAGTTTAAAAACTGAGTTCAGTTTGCTTTGGGTTGGGGAGATAAGTAGGCAAAAACCACCATGGAAGCTACATGCGGATGTAGAAGCTGTATTTCTGTGTAAGTATCTGAGGCAAAATTATTTCAGCTAAGATGGAGAGCAGTTATCCATCCGTAGTCAGTGTAAGGAAACCCTGCCCTTCATTTCAGGCTTGGAGCAGCTCTGTCTTGCTGCCACCCACCACTGGTAGGTTCTGTGGCTGCTTTTTGTCATGGAGAAACACATAACAAAGCTGATGAAGGGGCTACCAGCAGCAGTGTGCTGCCCACTTCCATCACTCCAGTTTCTTAGGCTATGATTCACTTCTTGAACAAGAATTTTGTCAGTCCTGGAGTGAGAAATACAGAGCTGTCGTCTCCTCCATCTTGCCATTAAACAGCAGCAACCACCTCCCAACGAGGTGCTGATTAGTAAGTAATCCAACACTCAAGAGAAATGCAGTTGATTGTGGTGGTGCTTGGTGCTGTGGGATGCAGCCCAGATTTCTGAAGGCATTTCTTGAAAACACACATTGCTTATATCTGGTTTATTAATGAAATGAGGGACATGTGCAAAATGGTACCAGTCATCTTCTGTGTAATGATTGCTGTGCTGCAGACACCACCACCAACAGTATATTAATGGTGAAATGTCCTAGGAGCCAAAGGGGGGCAAGGCGAGCGAGGAGTAAGTGGAAACCCAGGTTACCCAGGCAAACCTGGGCTGCAAGGTATGTAACATGGGCTGGGAAAAGCAGGAACATTGCCCTGACTTTTCAGTTTGCTGTTGGTGATGCCCCTTCATAGAATTGTTTTGGTTGGAAGAGACCTTTTAAGACCATCAAGCCCAACCATTCCCCCAGCACTGCCATGTCCCCACTAACCCATGTCCCTCAGCACCACATCTCCACAGCTTGGAAACCCCTCCAGGGATGGGGACTCCACCACTGCTCTGGGCAGCCTGGCATAGCCCTGGACAGCCCTTGCAGGGAAGACATTTTTCCTAATAGCCAACCTAAAGCTCCACTGGCACAACTTGAGGCCATTCCCTTTTGTCCTATTGCTTGTTCCTTGGGGGAAGAGCCTGAAAACCCACATGGCTCCAGCCTCCTGTCAAGGAGTTGTCAGAGCCAGAAGGTCTCCCCAGAGCCTCTGTTGCTCCAGGCTCAGCACCCCCAGGTCCCTCAGATGGTCCTCACCACACTTGGGCTCTAGACCCTTCTCCAACTTTGTTACCTTTCTCTGGCCACGCTTCAGCCCCTCAATGTCCTTGTAGCGAGGGGCCCAAAACTGGACCCAGGATTGAAGGTGTGGCCTCCCCAGTGCTGAGTCCAGGGGGATGATCCCTGCCCTAGTCCTGCTATCCAATACTAACGTTTTCAATGTTTTTTTCCCCCTACCTTGTCCTTTTCGTAGGTGAAGCTGGAGTAAAAGGCAATAAAGGCAACTATGGTTTCCCTGGACTGAAGGGACAAAAGGGTTCCAAAGGGGACACTTGTGAGAATGGGACCAAAGGAGACAAGGGAGATAAGGGGGATGCTGGAGACCCGGGAGTGGGTGGAGAACAGGGTGACAAAGGGGAAAAGGGGGACACAGGGGAGAAGGGGTATTGTGGGGAGCCGGGGGGAAGAGGTGCAAAAGGTGAACGAGGGGAAGGGGGGTCAAAGGGAGAAAAAGGGAGCAAAGGGGAGATGGGCATTCAGGGGATGCAGGGGGTGGATGGAAACCAGGGAGAAAAGGGCGAGCGAGGAAACAAGGGTGAAAAAGGGGACCTGGGACCCGCCGGTGCTACGGGGCCTTCCGGGCCCAAGGGTGTTGCCGGCAGCAAGGGCAGCCGAGGGGCCCCGGGAAAGAAAGGCTCGCGCGGCCCAAAGGGCGCCCGAGGGGACCCCGCGAAGCTCCCGCGGTCCGCCTTCAGCGCCGGCTTGTCCAAGCCCTTCCCTCCGCCCAACGTCCCCATCAGATTTGACAAGATCTTGTACAACGACCAAGAAGATTACAACCCTTCCACTGGGAAGTTCAACTGCAGCGTGCCTGGGGCCTATGTCTTTGCCTACCACCTGACGGTGAGAGGGCGCCCGGCCCGCATCAGCCTCGTCGCCCGCAGCAGGAAGGTGGCCAAAGCCCGGGAGACGCTCTACGGCCAGGAGATTGACCAGGCATCCTTCCTGACCATCCTGAAGCTGAGTGTGGGCGACCAGGTGTGGCTGGAGGTTGCACGGGACTGGAACGGGATCTACGTCAGTGCCGAGGACGACAGCATCTTCACAGGGTTTCTTCTGTATCCAGACATCTTTGAGATCCTGATATAGAGTTGGAGGGCAAAGAGGTTACTGGGAAACCCACCTTTGCCTGCAAGAGGAGCAGTGAGCATCATGTTTGCGTGTTGGTTTAGTGGCTAGGTTTGTGATCTTGTAATAAAATTATCGCCCCTGGCAAAACACAGATTAGTCTGAACTAGCAGCTCCAAGAAGCGCCGTGTCCTTCACACAGGTGGGTGATGGCTGAGAGAAACCATCCTCCAAATGCCAGCAGGATCGGTGTGGGGAGGGGATCACGTTACAACCTTCAGGTTTGTAATTAGCCTGTTCAAATTATGTGATGAAACTCATGGTCTGACTTTTGTTTTCATCGGGCCGGCTCCTGTGGACCTTGCGTGGTCAGAAGTCTTCTGGGAACCTGATAACCATTGGTTTTGGTAAAGATGGAGGAGTTTGATTTATAGAGGTGAACCAGAGAGTAGGTGTCTTGAAACCATATGAAAAGATTTAAAGTTATTTTATGATTGAATCAGTATTGCCTAGTGCTTTAGTCTTGGGTCATTAATTATCTAAAGGTTCGTCTAAAATAATATTAGAGCTGTGTGATCAGTATGAGAAAACCCAAAATATTGTCCTTAGGCAAAAATATATCTCATAGTTTCAAAAGTAACTGAAAGACTCAAAATCCACGTTATTAGGCTGCTCAGAACCCCCTGTTTCTGATTCAGCTGTTGCTGTGGGGTTGGCCCTCAGCTGGGGGAAGGAGGAGGAAGAGGAAGAGGAGGAGGCAGCTGGGAGCAGACTCTGACACTCGCACAAGTCCTAAGGAATTGTGATGGTCCTGCAGACATGTGGACATGTTGTTAAAAAGCTGTTTTACCAAAATGGCGCTGAATCTTGTGAAATAAAAGTGTGGCGTTAAATACTGTGGGTGTCAGGTTGGATGTATTTCCTTACTGAATGCACCTTCTCTCATGATAGCGACTTTACACCACCTTAGGCATATTAATTATGGCACACAAAATTGGTCCAATCACTCTTTTTTTAAAGAAATAAAACTCAAGTCCTAAAGTTAGACCGCAGTGTCACTGGAATTTACTTGTCTTCTCAGGCCTGGGACATTTTCCTCATGATCTGGTGAATGCTGGATCTGATCCCAACATGGACAGGGTGAATTAGGCTCCTGTTCCCATTGGCTTTGGTTTCCTTGCTTATATTGCCATGGTTCTTTCCATACTATATTTAAATACCATCATAAATCATATCCCTAATATCTTCTTTTTACGTGCCACCAAGATGAAGAGTTCCTGAGACTTTTTTTATCCAGCAAGAAAATTAACAACAGAGAACTGCTATAAAATTTTAAGATAAAACAAAAAATTAAGATGCTGATCCTATCTATGCAGTAAATGTAAAGGGTCCCTCAACCCATCATCTTTGCAGCCCCCTTTCAATATCAGACATTCAAATGGGACGTGTGTTGGCTTTGTCAAAAGGTTGGTACTTCATTTGGTCCCTCATCCAAGTTAGTTCCTACATAGTTCAAATCCAGGGTGTTAAGTGTAGAAAAGATGCAGATTTCAGATTACAAATTCCTTGGCAACCGTTAAAGATAGAGGAAAACCAAGAAGTTGTAAAAAAAATTTTGTATTCTTGCTGCCACAACACCCTCAGTTCTTTTGTTGTGCCTTCCTGCTGCTTCCCATACGGCCCCTGTAACAGATGGCTAACCAAGTACCATTAATTGTATCAGTCCACAACTGAGCTTAAAAGCTGCCCCAAATTAGTTGAAAATTTCAGCACAAACGAATATATACACCTCCTCCTTTTACCAGCAGAGCCTGCTGGTGCTTCCATAGGCATTTTCTGTCTTTTAAAGCCATAGGAGACCTCCCTGCTCTGAGGGTTTCAGAGCTTTAAACACAGCAGATCTGCAGGAGGGCTGAAGGGAAGGAGATGGGCAGAGCTGCTGCCCAGCTGGGTACCACACAGCCTCAGATCTCACCAGCTGCAACATGGGCTTTACCCTTTCCTGCCTGCTCCCAGGTAGCTTCCCCAAGACCATTTCAAAACCCAACCCTTTAAATCCAAGAAATTTTCCATTTTAAAAGCTTTTGGTTTTATTTTTTTTTTTCTTTTTTTCAAATGGCCTTTGTGACCTCACTGCTGTGGTGTACTCTGGTGAAATGTTCTGCTGCAACAACTTGTAACTGAAGCAAACCATTCTGTAGGAAGTTTTGAAGTAGTATAAAAAGCCCTAATTTCTATAGGGCTCTCCGCATTTTTCATGCTGTATCAGAACAACAGTGAATGAAATGATTGAGGAGCTGCTTTGTCTCATTATGTTGCACTGCTAAAAAATGCCAAAAAATTTGTTCCATTTTGCTTCTGCTTCTACTTAGCACAGATTTATTTTGTAAAGCTAAGTGTCCTGTCTGTGCTGAAATGAAGCAGTTTGACACTGCTATAAGAGAAAATAAATGCTTAGTGTACTAACCAGAAGAGCAGCTGTTTTAAATAACTAAGAAAAATTATTCCAAGCTGACATAAGGCCATAAAAAGCATCCACTTCTTTAATTAGGATGCTGAGGGCTAAATCTACAGGAGAATTTGGGTGCCTTGCTAGCAAAAACTTACTGGAGTCCTGAGTTAAACCAAGTCCTCTGTATGAAACCAGGGGAGGGTCTGGGACATCAGACGGATGAAACCTGACTCCTTGCTGCTTGTGCTCTTCCTAATCTCTAAAAACAGTGTGCTGGTGGTAAGGAAGATCATCCTTGATGCTTTGATGAAGCCCTTATCTAGTAAAGCTTTGCTTTATGCCATCACTTTCATCTCAGAGTAAACCAAGCACCTGGAGTGGTGTCAGGGCAGCACTGAACTCTCTTGCCTGGCACAAATCATGCTGCAATCAGCCCTAACGAGATGACAAAGCTGTTCTGATTTCCAGGGGGAAAAAAAACAAAAAAAACCCCCCAAACAAACAAACAAACAAAAAACCCAAAACAAACAAAAAACCAAACCAAACCAACCAACCAAAAAAAAAAAAAACACAAAAAAAAACCAAACAAAAAAACACCTCTCTCTTCTGGTATTTTTCATGCCTTTTGATCCCTGTCTCAGATTTTACACTGAGACCACAGCACCAGCACTTATTTTCATAACTGTGTTAGCAGAACTGTGATTTTCACACAGGGGAACTTCAGAGCTGCTGTCCTACAGCAAGCAGCTTGGGTCTCTTGCTGCTTCTTGCTCTTGTTTTGTGCCTTTCCAGATGCCCTGTGCTCCTGAGGGCCACCCACTTGCTTTCAGGTACCTCTTCTTGCCCAGCATCTAAGCTGAGTTTGCCCCAGGGTGGAGCCCACCTGCAAAGCCTCAGAGTGCTGTGTCTATAAAGGGAGAAGAGCCTGGCTTTTAGCTGTGGAAATTTTGGCTGGTTTTGGTGAGACCTTTTCCCTGGATCAACATGCTGTGTCCTAGGCAGAGGCCAGGTAAGCAAGTGCTTGTTATAGACTGGTTTGGGTGAAAAAGGATGTTTTAGTGAGGGCATGTTGACTTCAAGCTAGGAATTCTTAAATGGTTTGAAAACAATATGTCTAAATTCAGGTATTTTTTAGCTGGAATACGTCTTGCTTTTTCAGAGACCAGTAGCTTTGCTTGCAACTACTTAACTGCAGAAAGACTTTCTTGAAAGGAGAAAACCCACTTTTCCGGGTGAATTAAACTGGTTCACAATGTGATTACTACCAGTTATCCAGCATGCTTGTAAAGGGCTGGAGCTTCCTCACAGGGGCTCTTTATCAAGTGGTGTGTAGGCTGCTGTTGTTTTCATGCTATAGTCACTATTATTTATTCCCAGTAAGAGCCTTGTCACCATTTTATGGGCCCTGTCTGTGAAGCTGTCCCTCTGAGGCTGGACTTCCAGAAATATTACTTAAAACTATTAGAGACCAGCAGAGTGCTGCGTTATGCAATGACTTAATTCCCCCGTGGAAAGGATTTACTCTTGGGGGGTGTTACAAGGCCTGATTTAATGGCAGCTATAATCTTCTGTAGAGGTGCTGGAATTTTGATTCATAATGTTAAATATTGTGAAGTCAGTTTTGGGGTAAATTTGAATCGCTTTGTGCTCTTCCATGACTTTTTTTAAGTACTCTTGGATTTTTTTTTAAATGAATTATTTTTCAAGCATGTTTTTTTTCTGTCTTGCTAAAAAGCTTTCTGGGTGAAATTCCCCTTGCTGCAGCCAGAACTTTCATACTTTGTTCCTTCTATGGCTCACCATTTAGCGTAAAACCCTAAATTTCTTAACTCAATATTTTGAGGTTGGACAAAAAATGCAGTGGGTTTATTTTAGCTGATCTTTCTCGGTTTTAGCTTTGTTTTGCAACCTCTAAATACATCTGTTTTAAGTTTGAGACTATCTAGACTTTGATTCAAATTAAAAAAAAGTAATTCTGGAATGGAATCTTTGAGTTTTTTTAATGAAACAGGTATTTGCTCTTGAGGCACTTGGGAGGTCAGTGGGGTACCAGGCCAAAGGCCTGTTATCAGATTGTGATATGAGACCATCAAATCAAGCAAGAAAAAAAGTGCACACTGTTTGAGAGATTAAGCTCAAATTATTTTAGTTGATAAGTTTTCTGATGTTTGGTCAAAAAGCCCCATGTAGATTGTTCTTTACCAATTAAATCTTGTTCTGCTATAAATGTTTTCTGTCCTCAGCAGATTTGAAATTAATTATGGGATGATGTCAAGAAGTATTTTTTTTCTTTAAAAAAGTGTTTTGGTTCGCTTAGGGCTTAAATGGTTCCATCTGAGAGTGCATCTGTGTGTAGCTTCATGCTTGCACATGCTAGTGCAGATGGATGCTTGGATGTGTCTGTGTCTTTGCTATGGGGTCATAGATGGGAGGAAGGGATTGATTTTACTGGTTTTCCAGCTATTTAAATGGTGACTGAAACTTCTGTAGATGCACCCGACCCCTGGAAGCCCTGTGGCTGCGATGGTGGCTGTGTCTGGCAGAGATCATTCTGCAGATCCTATGTTGAGAGTGTTGTTGTCACATGTTGTAGTGTCCCTGTTCGTCCCCTCCACCCCTACCTCCCTCCGTGCCCATGATGCTGTGGATACCACCAGCACCCAAATTTGTGCTGCATCCTGGTGGGTGCTGGAGCTCTTCTTCATACTGGGTCACAAGTGCTGGCTGGCAGCATCACCTCTTCAATTTCTCGCTGTGGTCAATGCAGTTATTAATATATAAATATAATTCTGGTGTAAACAGGAAAAAAAGTAGCAAGTCTGATCTAAAGGTGCAAAGCTGTAGTGGGAGAGGAAGAAAAAGGAAAAGTTTGGAATGTCTTATTTTAAAAATACAAGTAACATCTTTTGAAATACACTAGCTCTGTCCTGATGGCTTTGTATATCCTGGCTGTAAACAAGATAGTGGCCTGGATTCCCCTTGCAATGTGTTCAACTGGATTCAGTGAGGTTACACAGATTAATATCCTCATGGAGTCTGGGTTTATGTGTTCTGGAAAGGTGTAGATTTCAGGAGCAATGAGCTCTTGGGAGAACCCTTGGTCTGGTTCTCCTTGAAGTCAATGAGCTGATGCTAATGAATTTGGTTATGAGCCACAGCATGTTGTGTTTGAGTGAGCATGGCTAACGGGGTTAGGAGCTTGTGTAAGCACCTCCAGATTGCTGTTGTGTCCTAGTAAAGCAGTATGAGAAACTTTGTTAGGAAAAGGAAGTTGGAGGGATGAGCAGCAATAAGGAGGGCTCTAGTGAGCTCTGCTCAGCAAATGGAAGCGTAGAGCTAAGCATCAAATCCACTCCAGGTCAGTCATGGTCAGACTTAGTTGTTGCAGCGTCCTTGGTGTGGCTAGAAATAATTTATAGGAACAAAATTGGTTTAGGAGTTATTTAGAGGAAAGAGTGTAGTATGGAAGGGACCTCCCAGTATCTGAAGGGGGCCTACAAGCAAGCTGGGGATGACTTCTTACAAGGGCTTGTAGTGATAGGATAAAGGTTAATGGCTTCAAACTGGAAGAGGGTAGATTTAGATTAGAAATTGTAAAGAAGCTCTTCACTACAAGGGTGGTGAGACTCTGGAACTATCCAGGGGAACTGTGGATGTTCCATCACTGGAGGGGCTCAAGACCGGGTTGGATGGGGCTTTGAGCAACCTGGTCTAGTGGGAGGTGTCCCTGCCCATGGTAGGGAGGTTGGAACTAGATGATCTTCAAGGTCATTTCCAACTCAAACCATTTTATGATCATGTGAAGAGATTACAGAGGATGTTTTGGGTGTAAATATACATTGATAGCAGGGACTACAAATACATTTACTCTTGTCTTCTTGCTGGTCTTTGGCCATTTTCTATGTCCTCCCCATCTGGAGTTGTGTGTGTAATGACTGAGTGCACCGAACTCAGTGTTACAGTGGGATCGAGGTATTTTGGCAATCTGTTGTAATTCTGTTTCCCTATCTCTCCCACATAGGTTTTTTTTTTTAGAGAAGGCTTTTGTCCCAAGGTGCCATGTTCTGGTAACATAGCAGTTTCTAGAGATGTGTTTCCTGGTTAAATATTTTACTTGTCAAGGCACAGTTTCAGAGGAAAGCTCTAATTCTTGCTCTATGTAACTTTGTCCAGAGGTTTGGGGGTATTCATTCATGTACTGTGTGTGAGAGCAGCCTAGCGAGTCCTCAGCTCCTGCTGCTTGTAGCGGGAACCAACTTTTTCTTCCCCCACTAGTGCTGCTGAAAACCTTGGCTTCATTTGGGTGAAAATTGGATTTTTTTTTACTCTAAAGGTCAGTGCTTCTTACTGGAGATTGCAGTAGAGCAGCTGGGCACAGAAGGGATACGATACAGCTTGACAACTTATTTTCAGTTTCCTTTCCTGTGTTTCTGGTGGACACTGTGTGAAACAGATGATGAATTTTTTTGGCAGCCTCTCAAAAATAATGTAAGTGTTTAAGACTTCTATTCCTGCTCCAAGGAGCTTTCAGGTCAAGTGTTTGATGGGAGATGGATCATCGGAAAGGGCTGGTGTGTGTGTGGTCTGTTTTAGCTCAGGTAGAGGTCTGGGAGAGGAGATAACCAGACTGAGCTGCTTTTCCTTTCTCTCATGCTCTTCTGGTAAGAGATTAATGTAAATGTGTCTCTTCTGAACAGGATAACACTTCATTGCTTCTCTCTTGGAAGGAGCCACGAGGCAGTTAGGAAATTGCTGGTGCACCTTTTCTCTGTGGCAGGGGAAACTTTTCTTCTCCCTTTATTGTTAAGCTGTCTCTATAGTTGCCTCTTGCTGAACTTTCTCTCTGTATTTTTTTGTTCTATACCTTAAACCTATTGCTCTCTAATGAAAAATCAGTTATTGGTAAGTAGAGGTTATATCTGTGGAGTATCTTGCTGTGCTGAGTCAACAAGTAGTGAGAAAGGGCTGGGAAAAAAGTTTGCCATGAGGGCAAAGTCCTAAAACAAGCACTGGGTTTTATTTTAGTGGGCTTGTGATTTGAATGAATAAAGGTCTATTTTATGGTGCTTGTGCAATATTATCCAGACATTTCTATTTATCTATGTAAACTTTCAGGGCTTTGTAACAATTTATTAGGCTGTGGGGTATTCATAAATATGTGGCCAGCTTAATACGAATGTTCATTAGTTTGATACTGAAAGGACACCAACCTAGTCAATAAAGATATCAGTCTCAGTGCTCTTTCATTTTAAAGAGTCAATGAAATGTCAGGATAATACAATCACTTTATGTGAGCTAAATTGTTATTTTTTCACTTTGACTCTTGCCCTTTTTCTTTTGGTATTCAGCTACATAACACAGGCCAGTAAATTGGCTTTTAAGGTGTGAGATTGGGGTTATGGAGGATAGCTTTATAAATATAAACTATAATAATTTAGATCCAAAGCAGTTATGATCCAGGAGAACATCTCTTGTGAGATAAAACTGTTGTCAGCCTGTTTGGCATCGTTTCTCTTTAGTGAATGCAGCAGCCTGGAGCCATGAGAAGTATGGCTGAAACTGCAGCAGATGGAAAGAAACAAATTTTGAAGGTTTCCAAGTCCTTAGTAAGATTTTTGGTATCAAACCCAAATAAATTAAGGTTGAACTTGACAAATCTTAAAGCTTTTGGTATCTTCATGGTGTATAAATCACAGCTCTTGAAAATAAACACTGTTAAAACTTATCTGAAGGTGACTACTGCAACTGATACTTCTGGGATCAGTTACAATAGCCAAGGGTGCTGCTTGTTTTTCCCTCTCGAGATCCCAAAATAAGATAAGCCAGGGATTCATCTGCTTCCAGTGCAATGGTGTTTAGTAGTTGGAGTCCATGGATGTTCAGGGATGCAGGCTTGGATAGGGACCTAGACTGAACTCTAGTGTGTGGTATAAGGAAGCTGTTGAGAAAGCTCATGTCACAGTTGCAGCCTTGCTCTGGAGGTGCCTTGATTAATCAGCACAGGCATGGGAGTATGCACAGGGCATCTCTGAGGGATTTGTTCCTAGAGTTTTGGAAGGTTTCTGCAGGCCCAGGTTGGCTGGTGAGCTCTGGAAGAGCCACACAGGCTGCATGGAAGAGAGGACAAACCCACCCCTCCTTTAACCAACTCTTTTACCCTCTGGTTACCTTTAAGCAAGTCTGTTGTCTGTTCCATAGTTCATTTTCTTACCTATTTCACAGGTACCAAGGTCATCTTCAGCCTCTCTTCTCTGCCACAAGACATGGCTTGAAGGGCTCTGAGGTATGTGATGAAAGCGAACGTTCCTCAAATTGCTTAGCTGCTCTGCTTTTAGAAAGCTGGTGAGCAGGATGGCAGCACAGGGCTCCCTTCAGCTCTGAATCTTTCCCTGCTGTGATAAGAGGAGGAGAAACAACCCATCCAGTAGCTGCAGTGTCAATGCAAGGTGAGAGAGAACGAGTGCCACAGATGAGAACTATTTGTGAACTCCTCTGTAGCTTGTTAGAGTTATTTGGAAGGACCTAATTACACAAGAAAGCTCAGGTCAGATGTGTTTTCTTCACCCAGTAAAGCTCTACTGACTTGATAGCCTTTATAAGTGGTCTAGATGGCCAGAAGGGTCAAGATCTGACCGTGACCACCACAGAGCCCAGTGCTTCAGCTGTTGGGAGAACCTGGGATCCTTCTAGTATATTAAACCATCCCACAAACGCATCTGCAAGTAGCTCTCTGTGACAAGTTCCTCTGTTTTCCCACAGAAAGTGTAATTACCATGGCTGCAAATGAGCTCTTGCAGCAGTTTTTCCCCACTGTCCCATAAAATGTGAAAAATATGGGTCAGTGCATTTATTAGACCCTCAGAATGTGCACAGCTCTATCAGCTCCTGGCACTTAGCAATAAGTCCTCTGTTCTGCCATTAAAATGTAAATTGGAAGAGAAAATGTCTTCAGGCTGGTGGGTTTCTCACTCAGCTCTTCTGGTACTGCATGGGAAGTTAATGGGAGAATGTGATTTTTCACAATCTCCCTCATGCTGAAAGAATTGGCCATTTGAAGCTGATATTTAATTAGTTCTGCTTCTCCTGGATAATAAATGGGGAGAAGGGAGTTGATGCATATGTTACTTAACTTCTGCCTGTAGTGATACCAGCGATTAATTCCCCAGCAGTTTTGCCATGGCTGACACAGC